TGTCCGCCCGTACTCGTAACCTTTGGCAAGTTGGTCTCGATCCACGGTTGTCACTCCATCTTCAGTAGTCCCATCATCAATTTGGTAGGATCTGCTGTTTCGAACACCTACAAGAGAACTACCTTCTTGCGAGCCCGCTGCCGCCGCTTCCATCTCCTCTTCGTTACGTACTGTGAACTGACTAGCCGACGGCGCCTTCGCAACGTATGTCCTGTAGTAGCGCTCCACGGGGATCCGAACTGCAGTATCGTATTCTGCGGGATTTCCTAGTTGTAAATGGCCCTTGAAGCTTGCCGTTATCCTTGTGCTCTTTACACGAGGGGTTTCCAGCTCCGCAACAGCTTGTTCTAGTGTTCCATAAGCTCCATCGCAGTCTTCGGCCAGACTACGCAGGAGTGCTTCATTTTCCGCCTGTAGTAATTGTCATTTAGAGCCCAGAGCAGACGGATCGGGGTGGGATACCTTTCGCAGATCTTTATCCTCCTCCTTCACTCCGTAGTCAGGATCATCAAAGTCCGGGCCCCTGCAGCATGTTAGCCTTCAACTTCCGATAGTATTTCGCTTGACACTAACAAAATAATAAGTTCAATATTATCCTCCTTAACCTTCTTCGTTATCTCGCTGAGATTATCCGGATTCATCGGGCCCTGCCCATTAGTAACCAGGACAATCCTGCGCTTATACTTCAGTTTCTTGCACTGAGTGATGATCATCTGAATCGCAAGCACAAGCGCAGAGATAGCTATACTAATCAGCTAGAGCCCAACTACTCCAATCACTATTCAAGAGGACTGCAACTCACCATCTCCCTTATTAGTCTTGCTAGGCTTTATCCTGTCGCTCAAACTCCGGATATCCGGCATGAGAAACCTATACGTCGTCAGCGAGTCACCAGAAACACAACAAGCAAGGATGCTCCATACTGCTTAATGCCGGATAGAACAGAGATATGCGAATAATCAGGATCATCCTCCAGTTCATTCGCGGTATCTAGACGTTCCTGCGTTAGCTCCGACCCATCATCAACTACATTACCCGTCGAGAAGAAGCTCACTCACCATCTGTCCTCAGCCCAAGAACACCGATCAAAGCCATTTTTCGTCCGGTGGCCACCTATCCAAGCATAAGCTTACAAGTATGACAGAACTATATAGAGAGGGGAAAAAAAAACTCACCGTCCCTGTGATGCGATCCCAAACATACTGCATCGCCCAGTCGAGATCCGTCACTTCGCGACCATGACGGCGCTCTCCCATGGACTTACCACAATCCACGATATAGACAGTTGCCTCTTTATCGGCCATTTTCAGTAAAGATGACTGAAGTGATCGATGAAATCAGATCCATTCGATGCCGCCGCTGGCTGGACATAAAAAGCGACGAGCTCAAGGCAGAAAGATGCACTCAGAGTAGGCAGACGCGTGATATTTCCCGATTGGGACTGGGCGGGACGCGAAAGCACATGACATCATCCTGTGGATGCTGACTAAGGGGGCGTGTAGTGGGCAGCGTATACTACATTCATAGCATAGATCTGGTAATTGTTCGGACGCAGAGTTGCTCCAATACGATCTGTTAATTTGTTGGCGAATATAAAAGGATACAGCGAATTACATAAGTTGAGTCTGTACATGGTTCAAGTGAATGTAGCGCTGGATTCTACATGTAACGGAGCCGTTACTGAACTGATGGACAATTGGATAACCAATTTTACTATTTCATAGTTTGAAAGATTGTATTTGTATTCGCTGGTATCTGAGAGCCTATCAAAGGCAAATTTGCTAACAATCGCTTCGAATAGCGCAAGGTCTATCTTACCTGGAAGAGACGTGCAATGACAACTACTTTGAGGGGAAATGGACATCCAGCAGCCAAATCATTCAGCTTTCCCAAGTTGCCAGGTACGAGTCGCTTCTACCAATATCTTCTTCGATGGGTAGACAAAAATACGAAAGCTATAGTAGTCAGTGCTCGGTCAAGCATGCGAGTGGAATACATCGTGATGCCTAGAATCCAGTGCGCAGTTCTCCAGTAACAGCTCCACACCTTCAATGTTTCCCGCCTTGTATGCAATGTCCATCGGAGTACCAAGACGTTCATCAATGCGATCAACATCTGCACCCCAGGAAATTAAAAGCTCAGCACAGCTTCGATGGGAATGACCACAGCAGGACTTCCATTCCTGAGCCATGACTGCCGCCAGTGGGGTCCCACTGAGTGTGCATGATGCGTCAACCTCCGCATTTTCTGTCAGAAGCAAATTGACTGAGCCATGAAAGCCACCCACTGCAGCGGCATGCAGGGCTGTTCCTTGTTCTCTTGATTGCAGAGAAGTCTGGGCACCATAAGATATAAGAGTCCTGATCGCTTCCTCATCTCCCTCGGCGGCGGCACGGTACAGCAATGTCTTTCCATCTTTAGGACTTCGTGCGTTCACATCGCCCCCTTGACTGAGCAAGAGCGATAGTAGATCCATAGAGACAGGTAGAAGCAGAGAAAGAATGCTAGTGCAGATTCCCGCGCGATGCATATCATTATTGGCAAACAAGTCCATCAAGACACGAATGGATTCGACAACCTCATTGTTGATTGCTGCCTCGAATGGGTTCTTGATCAGATGAGCTGCTTGCGCATCGTGCTGTACAAGCATTGAGTTGACGTCGATATACTCCACACACTCGAACTGTGTCAGTCCAGGCAGTTTGCAGTCACAATGCTTATTCTTTCGGGAAAACTGGCGCCTAAGCTTGCGACTTGCGTGCCTAGTAGAAGCTAATTTTCGTCTTGTAGTCAGCAATTTCTCTCTAGTTTGAGTGGGCGCGTCACACAAGGCCTCGGGTAAAAGCGTGGCTCGTATCGACCAAAGGTAACGAAGGACCTTCGTCTGGCCCCCCAACGAGGCCAAGAGGAGTGCTGTCCGGAATGTACCAGGTTCCTGAAAAAGACAGACCCCAGAGCGCTTTAGTATCATAATTAAATCAAGACTTCCCCCAGTGATAACGGGCAAAATATTGCGAGGCATTTCTGCAGATAGTAACGAATTGTCCAAAGTGTGCCCGGCCTCGAGGAGAGCGACCAATGTCTTGTCATAACGGGACGGCTCACCACGATAGTCTTCGCAGCACAGAGAACTCATTTTACGAATAGCCAGGCTAGACGCCGAGTCACCACATTCGTTGCGCGCCTCCACATCAGCCCCATGTGACAATAAAGCCTCAACAACTCTAAATTTTCCATTTTCAGCGGCCTGGAGTACTACGTCCGGCCAGTTGTCAAGTGTGAAGTGTTCGAGGATTAGCTCAACAAATTGTGTATATCCTCTCAAGCACGCATGACGAAAAGCTTCGTCAAACTGCTCAGCATTGAACCCAGAACGAATCGCTTGAATTAGGAGCACTCTCTGAACTTCATACTTCCCGCGGTCGAGACTGGTTTTTAGGGCTTTAGTAAAAGACTGGTATTTGATGTGACCCCAAGGATCCCAAGCATAGAGAAGCTCGGCTATATGTGAATTCCCTGTGTAACACGCGGCTTGAATAGGGCTGCTGATATCCGTCTCGAAATCAAAGTCACTGCTATGATTGCCTTGTTTCTGCAATGGGTAAAGAATGCCTTGAATATGAGGGTCAGCTCCGTGGTCTAGGAGCAAAGATACAGCAGATTCGTGCCCATGATAGGCGGCAAGATGGAGCGGGGTTGCAGTCAGACTGTTGTTCTCAGTGGGTATTCTCCCTATGAGGTGCTCTAGTTTATGAGTCCTGATTTCTGGGTTGACGGGAGACCCATTGTCGAGCAGGAATTGCATAAGACTAGTATCGCCCTTCTCACTGGCTCGGCAAAGAAGGATATCACGCACCCCTGCGCCATGATCGAATAAAGCTTCAACTATCTCACGACATCCGTTCGCACATGCCGCTTGTAGTGCAATATGAATATTTGTCTCGATGTTCGATCCAACAGCGTCTGCTTGCGCATCATGGTCGAGAAGCATCCTGACTATTCTAAGATGCCCGTTAGCCGAAGCCGCACGCACTGCGGTACCGATGGCCATTCCCTGTGCATTTATGCCTGCCCCTTTCTGCAGTAATATTTGAACGATCTCAACATGGCCTGCACCACAAGCAATCTGGAGAGCAGTGCCATTTCTACCACCGTCGTCATTTACGTTTGCCCCCCTCTCTAGTAGAAACTGCACGACCCCAGAATTGCCCCGTTTGGAAAAGACTTGAAGACAGGAACCAAATTCTGTCGAATGTTTATCAATATCAGCACCGTGAGAGAGTAGTAATTCTGCCATATGATATTGCTCCCCTTCCAATGCTGCGTGCAATGCGGTTCCTATTGTGGGCTGCACCTCGTTGATATCAATCCCATGGGCTAGGAGGCACCTGATTGTAGGGGCATGCCCCAAAAACGCTGCTATTTGCAAAGCAAGTGTTCTGGTCTCCAGAAGCCCAGAGTAGGCTCTAGAAGAGCCGATTTGAGCCCCCTTTAAGAGTAGCATGTCCAACAAGGCCACGTCATTTCGCTGAGCAGTGATCTCGAGGGGTCCTAATTCTGATAGAGTATGCAGTCGTCCCAATTGTTCCCTGATATCTGCAAGAGTATTCCCATCGGGTCTGTTTGGCTTAAGATAGCGTATTAACACTGAATCACTTCGAAGCCCCAGATTCACGTCTGCTTCGAGAAGCATTTTCACAATGCTCTGATGCCCAGCGTACACCGCAGCCCTTAGAGCACTGTGATATCTCCCACGAGGGTCTTTCAACGAATCCAGAGCACCGTGATGAATCAGAAGCTCTACCGCTTTTTCGTGGCCTCCAAAAGCAGCAGCCTGCAGCGTATCACCGAAATGGCCCCCTCGGCCCTGGATATTAGCTTTATAAGAGAGCAGCAGTGACATCAACTTTAGACTGCCCCGGCTTGCAGCTGCCTGGAGAGCATCTCCCAGCTCAATATCTTCAGCATTCGGATCTGCACCCTTCTCAAGCAGATATTTTGTGATTTCAAAGTTGTTGGTGATGACGGCTGCGCGGAGAGGAAACCCGTATCGGCCTCGGAGCTCAAGCTTAGCTCCAGCATCAAGAACTAGTTGTACTATTGACGGCTTCTCACTTGCAATAGCAGCTTTGCTCTCCTCATCTTGCCTCCCGCGAGGGCTATTTGAAGGGGATCAGGCCTGATTTCTGGAGCAAAGTCTCCAACATCCCCTGCCATAAGCCGCTGGAAAATTGGAATATTCCCTTTGAAAGCTGCGGTCTGTATGGCATCATCGAATTGCTGCTGTGTAGTAAGCTTGACCCCAGCATCAAGCAGGAGTTCTGCAATTGCATTGTTATCACTCGCCAAAGCCGCCTGCAGGGGACTGGAATATTCCCCCCTTCTGGGCACAGAGGAAGAGGCGCCATGATTGATCAGAAGCTGCACTATTTCCGTCCACCCCCCAAAACACGCCGCTTGAAGTGCATTCCCGTACTGAAACCCCGGTGCGTCTATATTGGCTCCCAAGTCTAGGAGCTTCTGAACAACCATGATGTGGCCACCACGAGCTGCCAGGTATAGCCCAGAGCTTCCATCTTTGTTTGTCTGGTTCACATCCAAATCCCCAACAATATCGTTATTCTCAAGCATTTCCACGAATCCATAACAGCAGATCAAAAATAGCATTGTTCGTGGAGTGCTTATTGAGGCATCGAGCTTTCTTTCATTCGTAGATTTCCAGCTAGAACCGCCTTCTCTCTGCTGTAGTTCGAAATTGTCCAGCCAGTCATCAAAGTGCTCCTCTTTCGTAAAGAAGTCCGTAAGACGAGGAACAACTTTGGCTCTTTGGGGTGCAGATCCAAGGTCTTCCACATGAGATGGCCAATAGTTTGTAGCGTAATTGAGAAATTCATTTTCACCCCAATCTTCGCCCAGATATGCACCCAGACACCCCAGGGCCATGTTGTAGCACACTTCTTTATCGCCATAGATCTCAAGGGATTCGAGATATCTGTAGATTGTGTCAGCGGCGATTCGGGTACAGGCTGATCTGATGATAATTACTCTCGAACTGTCGGATGAGCGAGCCTAAATGTATTTGTTTCGTTATCTATCACCACCAATCCACAGCAGTAATCGATGATGGTCCCCGATTGCAGAGTCGACAAGCACCTTGCTGAACGTGCTACGGCGATGAGGAAATCTGGGATAGGGAGCATTCGTTTCGCACCCAGAAGCCAGTAAAACGTAAATCTAGCCACTTCTCTGGCAGTTACCTTCATTGATCCAATTCGGCAATGGATAGCGGCGTAGGATCGACCAAGCGTCGCAGGTAGAGCTTCTAGAGCTTCATAAATACTTTCTAGGTCTTTGACTCGTGAGGTATCACTGATACATTCGAGTTGCAGCGACACCCATAGGAACCTGTAATGTTAAGTCAGAGAGCGATTCTTAAAACGACTTTGGCCCCACCTACATTCCTTGTGCTCCAGTAATAAGTGTCTCTTTCAGGTCCTTCTCCAGCTGTTGTAGTCTATCGTTTGCCTCGCTGTGTAGATTGGCCCATCTTGACACAAACTTGCTCACACGGAGCTCAATGAAGTGTTTGAGATCACCTTCAGTGTCTTGCGGCGTCACACCAAGAGTCCGTTTCTGTCTGAATCCAGTAGCAATATCCTCTTCATATCGACTGGAGATAAATACTTTGACCAGATCGCGACAGCTATGACGCATTTCTTCGAGAGACTGCTGCAGTATCATACGCTGCTGTGAATCACATTCATCAAGAGCATCGATAATTAGTATGACCGAGGCTGACTGGCCAAGCTCACACAAAAGCTCGGTGCACCTTTCTACAGACAAAGCAGCTGGCCCTTCACCAAAGTAGTTTGCTTCTTGAAGGCGTTTCCGATACTCCTCGACGACTGGAGTCCTCATCAGATAGTTACTAGCGGATAGAGAAAGCTGCTTTATTAGTGATCGGAGTATCTCCCCAGCATCGCCACGCTCTGGTTCCGCCGGGTTTCTCGAGCAAAAAAAGTGTACTATCGGCAGGGAATGCTGTACTTTACTAGCTTGAAGGCGTAAATGCTGTACGACAGCAGCACTTGTCTGTATTAGTCAAGGGCTAACGTCGTTAGTCCCTAATTGAGCAAACTCACGCGATCTTGGACTTTCCGCAGCCGGCTTCATCTTGTCAATTTGATAAGGAAACTTTGGAATATCATAGTTCAACTCACGTGTCCCATGCAACCAAAACACCTCAGAGCTACTAGAATTGCTCCATGCCTGGAATTCAGGGTGACGGAAAAGCCATTCTGCAGAGCCTGGCATCAGCGATGTTGATGCCTCACGAAGATGTTTCTGAGCCGGGACAGCTGATACCCAGCTCAGGATTTGGTCCCTCTCGTTGTCTAAACATGTTCAGTTTGTGTGGAAGCGTATGTCAAGCAGCCGGCTAGTACCTTTCAAAGCTCGATGAAGGTCGGAAACTTGATCCACAACTCGTGTTACTGGCTTATCAAGGTCCAGGAGGGCTTTTTCTAGTTTTGCTTTCATATCATTGACCTGGTCCGCCGTCGATGTAGCTATAAGAATGGTGTGCAAAACGTGTGTCTCGATATTACCTAGGTCTAGAATAAAGTTTAGTCGAACAAATCTCAATCCTGACGTTCTAGAATCACCTTCGCTATCAGCGAGCCCCTTCTGTATCAGAAATTGCTGCTCGGCACTCTGTATTTCCTTGGTGCAGTGTCTAAGATCGTCTTTGGACATAAAGGCGACCGCACGTTCTAGTCACCAAATATTAGCCACTGAACAACGAAACAAAGTCTTGAAACCAACATACTCGTTCGCGAGCACTGATAATATTTCCTCGCCGGAGACAAAAATTCCAAGACCGCTGTATAGCACTTGACGATTTCATCTTGCAAGGCCTGTCTTGCTTCACTCAGCGCAGAGTTCTTCTGATAATATAACCCTTCGAGTATTCCACCCCGCGCAATGACCCTCACAGACGTCTCGAGTCCCTCTACAATAGCACCGAAAGTTTCGGTTCCGTTCAGAAACAGCTGAAGCGCAAAGCGCACTCCAGCCCAAGGTAGTGCCGCATGAACCGGGTCATAAGATACAACGATATCGACCACACTGGCAAACTTGCTCACGCAAGCTACAATTTTCGCGCATACATCACGAATGATGATCTCCTTGCCACCGATGCTGGTGGTCGACCATTTGTGGCGTTTGCAACGATCGCGCTGCGTTTCGATTGCAGTGATGATGTCGGTCAATGTCTGTGAGACTGGTGGTGATCCAGTGCCTGACGTGGGAAACATGCGCTGATCTTTGTCTGGGAGGGCGGAGAGGGCTCTCGCCCAGAGTGAGGTAGTCATTCTGTGTGAAATTGCTGGCTGATAGCAACACTAGTGGAAAGTATGATGTGAATCATTAGAAAGATTTTTATGTGGAAGATATAGCCTTCACAGATAGTATAGTATGTTGGGTAGAGAAGGTGGAAGCTAGGCCTGATATGGGCCGTGACCGGCGAGGCTGAGAAGGATTGAGCGGGGTTGGTATGTTTTGGCTAGTCTGCAGATGGCTACTTCTATCCCGATAATTCGTCAGCTGTATGAAGTGGTAGTTAATGGCGTATTCTGATCTATTAATATAGCTAAAAACTCAGTCGTCAAAAAAAAACTGGTTAGCAGAGCTAGGCAAAGAGAAACGTTAGTTTTCGTTCATGCTATTCTGAACTTGTTCAAAGTGTAAGTGATTTCATTACCCCGACGATGCTAACGATCCTTTGCCGTATACTCAAATAGTAACTGTTCAGGATGTGTCGAAGATTAGTAGTGATTTACTGCCCGACTGTATCTCCCACCAATTTGTGCCTACTAAGCCAAGCACTAGTGTGTTTGAATGATACAGAGCGAGGACGTAGTTGATACTAGTTATTCGGACTGGGCGTCATTACACTACATACTGGTGACTGTGTCGGTTCAGTGAAGACCAGCTAGATACTATTAATACTATCATCATCATTATGTCTTAATGTACAGACCTCCATATTATTCAGCAGAGAAAGCATCCCACGAGAAAAACCATACTCCATATCACTTTACTGACAGCAAACTAACCCAATCCAAACCCCTCGAAGCACAACCCCCTCAAGCACCTCTCTCTAGCAGCTGTTGAATGAGTTGGGTATGGCCGTTCTCAGCGGCCTTACAAGGCATGCTATCATGTACTTTCATGCCACGATCGAGAAGTGTCCATTCGCACACGCGGCATTTAGTGTAATGTTGTTGTCTGTGTCAATATTTGACTTAATATAATCTGCTCTAACATCATAATCAAGGAGCATCTTGATAACATTAAGACCATTGACAGAAGCAACCTCCAGTGAAGCTTAGAAATCATTCTATGGGGTGCTTTATATTTTTCCATGATGAAGCAGCTCAACTATACAGATGTTTCCATTAGCAGAAGCCGCATACAGCACGGTACCGATGGCTTTTCCTGGTGCATTCACGTCCGTTCCTTTTTGCAGCAGAAATGGCATGAAGATGAATATTTCAGATAACATTGAGAAATAGGGATAATGGTAGTAGTGGTTGTAGTAGTAGTAGTAATGTTGATGATAGAAAGAAAGAGTTAACAGAGCCAAAAAATAGATTGTACATCGTCAGCGACAGGATTCGAACCTGTGCACGCGAACGTATCAGATTTCGAGTCTGACGCCTTAACCACTCGGCCACACTGACTATCACGCTTGGTAGATTGTATAATTTATCATATATATAAAAAAGCTATGGAGTAAGTCAAGACGAAGGGTCAAAGATATATGGATTTGATCTATCTAGATCTCAAGAAGATGGTTGGTGGTTGGTTGGAAGAGGTGGTGGTCAGAGGCCATGCAGGAAGAAGAGGCGAAGGATCAGCTGACAGCTGCCTAGCTGCAGTGAATGTCTCAGCATGTTCTAAAAATCTGGAACAGAGCACGGATCTCGAAACAACATCCCTGGATCAAGAGTTTTGCTTGCTCTGATAATTCGGAACTGGGACGATGAAAACAATGAAAAAAAATTGAGAAAATAGCCCCGGAAAATCTCGAGCCCCTCTTGCAAGCTTGGGTGGCAAAGAATGGTTTCGAGACTGGGGAGCAGATTCGTCGGCTTGAACAGTCTGCTGGGGGCTCTTTGCGCTACGGTCTTCTCGTCCTTAGCCTTGTTGTTCCCAGACAAGTAAGGTCAACTGGTGTACGCCGAATCCCTGATTCAAAGCCAAGCGACGTGGCACTATAGACAGAAACATCCTAAGCGCAGTCAAATCACTTTCTCTAGAACTTCATCCCGGGAGCTCAACACCTGAAGAGTACAAAGTGACTGGTGGGTACAATGCGGCTGACGAGCATGCCATCCATGAAGCAGCTATGTGTGGAGTTATGCTGGATGATGAAGATTCAGACCGAGAATATACTGCCGGAACCGAGGCTAGCTGTTAACACGCGAATTGGCAATTTCAAGAACCGGTTGTGTCTGGCCTTGGGCTGCTGGTATCAAGGCCGTGAGCGAGATCCAGGCCATTGTAGTGTGGACTTCCAGCATACCAAGATCTACATAAACGCGACCAGGGAGATCCACATGGGAGGATTCTGTGTCAAGGCTGAACTTTCCCCACCTGGTGTTTGAAACCCCAATGTCTGGGCGCAAGATATCAGGGATGGGGACCCCGGAGCTCGACTGACATTCCGCATTTCTATAAAGGAATCTGATGGTCAAGAGACCTTTGTCCGATATGCAAGCCATAGAAGCTGGCAGTCGTGCTGCAACGCAGATATACTTGTGGATGAGCTTGATGGTGACCAGCTTCTTGATATATATACTCGTTCTCGGCGCTTCATCGACATTGATCACCGAAATACTAGGATACTTGCAGCTTACCCGGTACTTATTGAAGAGGTTTATTGGGGGTGCATTTACAGATAACAATGGAGTGGTAATGTCCCGTAAGCGAAAGGATATCTAGGATTCTGGTATCTGTCTGAGCTATACAGAAACCAGAATCGGATAAAGGTATAGAAGTACAGGATAAATAAAAATTTTAATGTACTATCCAACTGTGAGATGCTGATTAGACGACTCTGCTCCTTCAATGGCTAGTACTGCCATTACTAGTGCCTGATATATTTCACAGTCAAAGACCTGGACGACTTTTACTGATTTTGAGACAGGTAGTAATAGTGGTATTGTAGGTGTTGCTAGACCTAGACGTACTACCAGTAGGACCATCAGAGTGATTATATATACGAGTAGCACTTTAGTATATTTAAGTATATCTCTCAGCTATTGGCCTACCGACAGCAGGTGGGCCGCCCAAAGAGGAGAAAGATATTTTTTTGACGATACTTTAGGATTCTCGATATTCAGTTGGTACCGACAATAAGATCCACGGATTGTACCTGGATGTGCTCTAAGGTAGTTCAGTTAGCATGGCTAGCATAATGGCTGATGGAACTTCGAGGCTACGCTTAGGTATACAGAGGCAAATTTAGGTCAAGATGATATCATATTAGTCAGTGTGGCCGAGTGGTTAAGGCGTCAGACTCGAAATCTGATACGTTCGCGTGCACAGGTTCGAATCCTGTCGCTGACGGTTAACAATCTATTTTTGGCTCTGTTTTATCTCTTTCTTTCTATCATTATCATTATTACTACTACTACTATTACTACTAGTTACTAGTACTATCATTAGTCAGTGTGGCCGAGTGGTTAAGGCGTCAGACTCGAAATCTGATACGTTCGCGTGCACAGGTTCGAATCCTGTCGCTGACGATGTACAATTAATTATTTTTAGCTCTGTTATCTTTTTCTTTCTATTATCGCTAACATTATTATAGAAATATGTATTAAAAGTCATTGACATGAACTGTCATACAGTAAACCACCCATATAAGCAACCACTGATATAGGGAATCCTCCACTACAAGCAACAGCACACGGTGTTCAAATTACCATACTATACAAATCTCCTCGTTTCTAGGCAGCTATTCTCTCTTTCTTGGGACTTTAGCAGGCATTATCATAGTAGACTACTGGATCATCCGGAGACAACAGCCGCGTGTCTACTTACTCTACGAGCCGCGGGGAATGCACTATTTCATACAGAAGATTTAACCTACACATATTTATAGCATTCCTCTGTGGGATTATACTGAATCTACTTATTTTAACCAATGCATTGTAGACAGAGTAATAGTATCTATCAGAGCAGTATATCTGTGGCAGCGAGGCCCGATATGGGACGGTGGCTGGCAAGGCTGAGAAGGGAGCCATGCTTGCTTATGCAAATGCTTATCACTGTCATATCATATCTTTCGCTGTGTAAAGCGTATTTGTAGCGTAGTATAATCTACTGTCCCAGAAAGATTATGGTCATCACGTAAATTATAAATAGCGAAGAGACTTCTTTTCCATGTGGTGAGTGCCCAGGGAAACTTAAAATTTAAGTATATTGCTGCGGAGTAGTAGGGGGATCTTGGCTTCTTTAATAGGCTATTGGTTTGCCAGCGGCAAACAATTAAATTCCCATAAAGAGGGTGCCATTAGCAGAGCTAGGCAAGGAGAAGCAAGAACATGAACTTGCTAATCATCCTATCTTGGGGGTGACTGGACGGTCCTGACTAGTTCAATCCGTATGTTAACGATCCTTTGGCGTAGCAGCCAGTAGTAAGTGACTCAGAATCCAGTGGAGATTGATAGCAGCCTCACTGTATATCAAATGGATCTTTGCCAACTAGAATAAGGACTAGTTACTATATTTTCATCATTCACCCACTACACTACTGAAAAGGTACTGCTTTCCATTTTCATTACATCTGAGTCTTCGTCCCTGGTGTGCCTGCGTTGGCTTTGTAATATACAGAATAAGTTTAGTAAGCCTGGAGGGGTCAAGACGCATTCTATATGGATTCCAGCAGCAGTGGTGAGGATCCAGCTAGATTCACCTCAAAATTCTGGCAACTTATAGTAGTCTTCCAATTGAAAGGATTCTGCGCCATTGTATTGACTACTGGTGGGCTTGTCAAATTGGCCCTAGATCAACCAAAAAGAAGCATTACTATCCTACACATTCTCCCATAATGCTACAGACCTCCATGCTACCAACAGAGAAAGTATCCCATGAGTAGAACTATACTCCATATCACTTTACTGACAGCAAACTAACCCATTCCAAAGCCTTCGAAACACAACCCCCTCGCCATCCCCTCCGCAGTAAACTCAACCCCTTCCTCCTCCAACATTCTCTTCTTCATCGCCACTCCATCCTTCGCTTTCTTCTTTGCCCCTCCTGACCCCTCAGCACCGCTGTACCCCACCAGCAGCTTCCCGTTGCCCCCCAGCACCCGATGGCAAGGTACCTCCGGTGCAAACGGGTTCAGACGCATCGCGGCCCCAACTGCTCGTGGACTAGTACCAATATGCTTGGCAAGTGCAGCATAGGTGGTCCAGCGGCCTGCGGGGACGGATAGCAAAGCAAGGTAGATTTTCCGGCGGTGTGAGGGAAGGGTGGGGTGTGTGGTTATTTTCTTGATCATTTTTGTTTTGATGTCTGTGGTTGTTGGTTGCGGGGATGGTTGTGTAATAGTCTTCTGTTGTTGTTCTTGTGGTTGGTGTTGCGTTTGAGGTAAAGCCATGGTTACAGGCCCAGTGCTCTGTTGGTATGTAGTAGTTCGCCTGGATGTATGATTGGATGGTGATGACTGCCGTTGTTTGTGTGAGGATGTTATATTTAGATAGTAGTAGACAGGGGCAAGGATGATGATGATGGTTTCTTTGTTTGTTTGATGTTCGACCGTTGAAGGATGGATAAGGTACGGAGCACAGAATATGTTGTGTTGGTGTGGGATGAGATAACTTTCTTTGTCCTTTTCCCGTTTGTTTGTGATCCTTATCGCATGCAGATGTTGGGTAGTACTAGTAGTAAATGAGAACGGAGAGATGAGATGAGATAACTATTGGATGAGGTACCCGTTCTGCTTTGTTTTGGGTCCGAAACTTCACTTAATAGGGAATTAAGTTCAGTGATAAAGGGGTACAAGATACTGTTCGTGTTAGGTTAGCTAGATATGCCTTTGTATTGTGGATGGCTATTTTTATACTTATAGGATAACTGACCACTCAAGACAAGGACAAAGTGGTTTGAGGTTTGATCAATAGGTAGTAGTACTAGATGGAAGCAAAGTACATGGTGGCACAACCGTTTGATGCTACCGTAAAACGTCGTTCTTTATTATATGCAGAACTGCAGAGCGAGAGAGGGGTCTGGAACTCGACTCCGCAACGTTGTGCTCGAATTGACGAATCGGGTGGTTCCGTGCACATGACTGTCTCCATTCCTGACTGGTGTGGCACGGCATGCTTCCATGGTTGGAGAAATCCAGCCATTCTATTGTTTTGTCTCATTCATGATTCTTTATGCGTTTGAAGATGATGGAATTGCAGCATTCGCCGGGATGCCAGCGGGATGGAATCTGATGCGATGCACTGCCGTTAGGCCCAGCCCAGACTTACCGCGATGGCGCACAAACGTTGCTTCTGGTGTCACCCCGGTAGTCATAATAAAAATAGCTCCAGGCTCAATTAGCGTAGCTGAAGGATTGCATTGTCGGTTCACAATTTCGGTGGATTGAACGACGGGATGCGCGTTTCATCCATAGTCGCTAGGGGAGTATCAGTGTGCCACAGGCTGAAATGGAGATTCTACTGCGGGATAAGGACAGTTACATGCCGATATGTTGGTGTTAGTTACATCTTACTGTTCCACTACCCGATGCGATTACCTGCAGCGCAGGCGTGGCGAGAATTACACTGGCTTCGTTCAGATTGCCGTCGCTGAAACCAGTATGTTCCTCCCGAGAAGACAGACGTTGCATGTTGTGACATGTTGAAGGTAATGTATTAATAAACTTGTGACTGGTACACAATGTCTATGTGTATAAGAAAACCAAACGAAATGGTATATGCCAAAAGGAAAAATAAATAGAATGAGGTCCGGAACGCCATACCGTCCGTGAGTCATCGACAACATAAAGAAGCATAAGCATAAGCATAGACATTAGAAGCATAGCGGACATAGACGGACGTAAAGTGCCATGGGTGATCACCCGGCAACAAACAGAAGGGTATATTCAACAGCATCATGACGCAAAGGGTATAAGGCAGAGGAAAAGCATCATGACACTAATCGGTTCGCGACCGCTTGGTCGTCCGACGCTTAGGGACGTCCCAGTGGTGAAACGAGCGCAGGTGTTCAATCAGATGGTCGCGACGCGGAAACCCATTGCCATCCTTGCGCAGACATTCTTGTACTGGGCAGTCCTGAAACACGGGGTTGTGGACGCTGGTGTGATGCCGTTTCAGGTCGGCGGGACGTGTAAACGCCTTGCCGCAGTCGCGGCACGAGAAGGGTTTGACGGGTCTGGCCAGGTCCATTAGATTACGGTCGGAAATTTTTTTGTTAGGGCGGAAACCATACCTAGAGTTGTCTAATGCGTCGCAAGTCTCTTCCGGAGAGTATACGGCCTCAGTGCTGGGAGTGGTGGATTGCGGTGCAACCCATTCCCCGCCCGGTACAGGCACCGGAGGTGTTTGTGTTTGAAGGAAAGTGTATGTTTCCGGCGAGTACATGAGAGAAGGAGTGAAGTTGTAGTAGGCGTTGAAAGGGGAGGAATTGACGGATGATGTGAAGGAGGTGGAGTCGTAGGAGGATGGTTCGAAGGAAGGTTGGGTCATGGGCAGATCGGTCGCCGCCATGGTGTACATGGTGTTATCGAAATATCCGAAAGCCGATTGCATGGAGTCATCACTGCTTTCCGAATAGGATCTTTGTTCGAGAGGAGGGCATGATGGAATATTGTGGTGCTGCGGCGGGAAGGTCAGTTGGGGAGTGACGCGCGAGGGAGCGAACGAGAGGTGTGAGAGGAGGAGGGAAGAGTGGAGACGGATCGAGACCCTGATGATCGGGGAAAACATACCATTGCAGTGGAGGCAAACATGATGGAGTGTAGGATGGGGAAGAATCAATTGGTAGGAGGGACAGGACCAGCAGCTCAATGGCCGAATTGTTCTGGAAGAAAAATGGAAGACTTGCCTGGCCATCGTGACTGGGCCCCGGGTTTTTATAACCACATTTTTCTTCAATTCTTTGATCCAGGTCAACCTACGGAATACGTCGCACTTGCATTAGGCCAGGACGGTGGTCTCCACCATGGAGCCCAAAACCGCCAAAGCCAGACGGTGCTAAGCAACACGAACGCACCCACGGCGACATCATCAGGTGAGCCCGCTCCTATGATCTTCCACTAGAAGTCCGCGCAGATTGGATGGGGGAGGCCGGGAATGCAGGAGGAATCGCAGCCAACACACAGCCCCCCCGGCTCTGAGCGCTCATTGGCGAGAGTGAGCCACGAAAGTGAAGCAATCCTGGCTAGTGCTGACGCTAGAAACGCCGAAGAAGCATTCGAAACTTCTTCCAGGCTTCCAGAGGCCTTCCATGGCTGTGATTGGCAGAGGCCGAGTCTTGGGACGGAAAATAACCAGCGATGATGTCCACTCCGGGCCGGGAGAGGAGCCAGACGAGCCAGACAAGGAAGACGGACTCGCTGTGTGGCCTGCTGAAGAAGGAAAAGGACCGGAACGAGGGTCTGCGGTGACACGACAGCGAGACCGCAATATCGTCATAGGGTGCGATCCCCCACAACAACAAAGAGTCGGTGGAGCCCGTCGGCCGTGCTGGAACTGGCTGGCTTTGGGACTAGAAAGGTTTTCTGGGACGGACTACTGACGATGATGATGATGATGATGATGATGACTGACCGATGTGGATGTGCTTTTTTTTTTTATTTATTTTTTTACCCTTTTCCCCTTCCCAAGACGCCAATTCCCTAGTCGGGAATTCGTCCGTTTGTTCGCCTTGTTGTGGTCCGACATGGCCATTCGTTAAATAAAACGCACGCGGACCGTTCATCGGAAGGCTCCGATGATAAATGTAGTAACAGTAAGAAGATCTGATCCTCTTTTCTAGCTTTGCAATTGATTGTTATGATTGATCGCTTGCAATCCACGGTCGCGGAGAGAGCGGTTCCTCCACCAAAGAAAAAAAGTACGAACGAACCACGAGTCTTGTCACGAGAACCTTGTGAATGAATAACTTTGGGGCTCTGGGGAAGGAAGAAAAGGCAGATCTGACGGGAAGAGTGTCACCCCTTGCTGAAATTCCCATCAACCTGAGTGGATGATTTTTGACCCTGGTGATGGGTGCACTGTGCAGCCTGTTCCTGCTGGACGGGAATTTCGCTATTTCTCCCGACCGACCGAGGAGATGGAGCAACTCGGCACGGGCTTTCCGGGCGTTTCGTCAACCGCTTTCCCACACATTTTCCACCCGCCAAGTGCGCGCGATTCCACAGCCTTGTGGTTGATGCCAAGCAGCGTCTGTCTGGGGAAAACAGCAGGGACTGGTACACTCTGGCTCCCTATGACGACGACAACCTTGGGGATGGGGAATGATAGTATCGCACAGCCCCCCCTTGCGACCGGGGTGAAGGTTGATGATGATGACCACTTCCCCAGGCTAAGTTAGTACCTAGATAGCGAGCAGGATTGAAGCTCATCAATGCAAGTGTAAAATGCCTCACATCGGTGCTAAAGAGTTGCTTCAATCCTTCCCGTGAGTGATTAATATGTCAGAAGGTTTGAACAAGTGAGGCGACTGCGCGATATTCTCCTGATAATCTCTCATTTGCTTCACAATCTGTTCTTGTACACTCACTGACAATCACAACACCCGCAAGTGGCTTAGCTTGGGGTTTCCTTCCTGTTCACCGCCTGCTACGAATGCGACGAATGCTGCCTGAGGTCTGGCTTCAACTACTACTACGCTACAACATAATTAGAGATACTCCACAAATATTCACCGTGCGCTTGATTTAATCTAGCTAATCAAGTTTACTGAGAACATGGTGAAACAACAGCAGAGCACTGAAATGTAAACTGAAGCAATTCTGAGACCGGCAAAAAACTGTCGCGGAGGCTGGGCTGCCAAGAATAGCACTACCATAACCTTCCAATTATAGCAGGCGGTCAGACAATGCCATAACCCACTCTCTCACCACTTGGTGAAGATGCCAACACCACTAGTAGTAGTATTCTTCCTACAACTTTGTGCCATGTGGATCGCGACAATTCATCCAGTTGTCGGGCAATCCACAGAGAGCCTCGGACGGAAGACATTATTCCGTACTAACTCTGTCAGGTGCGTCATGGGGAAAAAAGAAGAGCTAATGGAGAGGTGTTGAATTGATCGCTACCGAGGTTTTGCCCTTTAGTGTTGAGACTTACTTCAAGGGGGAAGAATGAGTTATTAAGTTGGTACTTTTGTACTACACAAATCCCGATCTATTTGGTGTTTTCCTTTTTCCTTGGCTTCACTATTGGTTGGATGTGTTAATCATCGTCCAGCCACATCATTATCATCCCACCCGTCTAGGGAACTTAGTGCTTGTTCCTATCTTCTTTCTCTAGGTATCCCTGAGTACGGGGGTAATTTCGTTAGTCTAACTATCTTTCTGGGCGTTTTCTGCAAGCACCGCTCACTTGACAGGGATTCCCTTGCCGATTTTACCGATCAACAGACAGGTTTGGTCAAGTAATATGGACTCGATAAATCCATCTCAAATGGTCAATGTACGGTAACAACAAGCATCACTACCTAAAGTCATGGCTGCATCCCATAAGCCACCATGTAAGAACAGCACAGAACTCCCATGTCTCGTAGACTCGTCCCTGCATGCTCCCCCCCTCCAAAGACTTGGATGAAACAACAGATCGTTAAACAGATGGCAACACAATCACCAATTGCATAGACACATTGATTAAACTTAACTCCCATATTTCCGTGCATC